GGGTGAGACCAGATCGGATGAGATAGCATTTTTGGGAGGTACGATCCTGTTTAATGAAATCGCGAGGCGTACTCATTTGATTGTGATAAATAGGATTTGGTAAATAGGATTTCGAGGAGACCATAAGCAATAGTTTCGATTGCTATAGCAAATATAACTTTTCTTCATCGAAAATCACACCACAGAATATGATATGGGAAAATGCCTGGCCTTGATTGAAATGCCCATCTGCCCTCTGACCAAAGGCCATCTTGGCAATGGAACGTGGTGTTTATGGTGCCAAGATTATACGCTGCATTGCCACGGTTCGAGTCCCGCTGGGGGATCTGATGAGACCAGTTGGGGCTAGGTGGAAAGTGTAGACTAGTCCAGATTGGACGGGAATAACTATGGGAAACAAGGCTCAGCAAAATGTAACGTCAACTTGAGACCTACTTTTCTGCTTGTCGGAAAATGCAACCAGCCGTCCATCATCACCTTACACGAAATGGGATAAATACATTTCAACTATCACAACATCAAGAAGCGTAAGCACCTTAAGCCACCTATACTGAGTGTACATTTTCTTCAAGCTCTTCACATGTCCACAAAACATACTCATGCCACATGAAGGGTCACTAAACAAGTGAGCAACACAGCGTATCAGAGGTCTTTTTACCAAGACGGATTGGTGGAAATAAAGGCAAGCAGGCAAAGTGCAAGAATAGGTAATAAGAACAAGTTGGTAGATCTCGGTCTACTTTAGTTCGAATGGAATAGTCTGAAGTAATTCTCGTAACTTAGGCTTGTTGCCAGGGCTGTATAGAAGAAGAGCAGCTGTCCAGTGTTAACTAATTTCCAACATCTGACCATGGATTTGGTATATTGCTAAACATTTCGCCAGCATCGTCAGTAGAAAAGACATGAAAAGAATAAATAATTTTTATCCCTTGACCAATAAATAGTCTGGGAGTGAGATAAGTTGATGGCAGTTGAATGCATGTACCAGGAAAGCTTATTTCTAAGGGAGGAGCTGCTGACTGGCGAGACCGAAAACTAGCCCGATGAAGTGTCTGTGAATGTACCAAACTGACGGTCCGATGTGGCAAAATGGAGGAAGCTGAGTAGGTCACCTTTTTCCAGGTCACCCTGATCAGGTTACAAAGCCGAGGTCAGACCGATTATATACAGCAAAAGGAGACGGTGATCCACAATTTTCATTTTCTTATCTACTCTTGAACTTTTGTTTGCGCATCTCCACTCATCCCACTCGCTGTTGGCCAGAATGCCTGCTCCGTGTCCGTCTGCCTCATCTTCACAACGAGAGAAGAAAAAAAGGCTTTTCAGTCGACATCTTTACCTCGATGAGGGGTTCTCAAATGATTATGTTCTTTCGGCATTGGCAGTCTCTGAGTGCTTTGACATCACCCCGACTACACGATTAAAGTTCAAGCGGTCAAGCCTGCAGACGAACTGGTCGTAGCAATGGTTCCCATCGTCCCATCTTTTAGGCGACTCATCGAGTCGGAAGAAAGATGCACGAAGCGTTTGGACCGAGTCTGGAGGTAAACTCGAAAGGGCCAAACCCAGAAACGAAGAGGTGCGTGTCTGCCGATGACGCGGTCAGGCGGTCATTCGGCGAGACCGTCGTCGGCCTCAAGAGGAACCGTTTGACTGACAGACCGACCGGCCGACAAACCGACCAACCGACTTAAGAGCCAAAATTCCCCGAGAATGGTGAGGCTGGCAGAGTGAGCGAGTAAGTAGGCAAGAAGGTATCTTTGTTGGGAAGAGTAGGTTTCGTATGAAGGTGCATGCAGAAGAGACTGGCAGATTGATCTGGCCAGAAGACGACGCCCGAATCCCGTCATACTTTAGTCATTTATCTTTAAGACGAAGTTCAGGTTGACGCAGTCAACGAGACATCCTCTTTTGTTTCCAGTCAAAACAGGCTTCTTTATGCACTTTCAATACGAAATGAAACTCTCAAAAATGTCATCTCAGGGATCTATCGAGATCCAGGTACTCTTCATGTCTACAATATGGTGACACTGGCAGAGCTTCTGAAGACCCCAACCACTGTCAATCTTATATCTATTTACATTAGAAACCCTCTCATGTGAAGCATTCTATGATGGGTGAAAAAGTACAAGAACTGAAATGCCATTTGATGACAAACTAAGCAGACGCGACTTGTAAAGCCAACTCAGGCATGTCCAAATCAAAACTGAACGAGGATAATCGACTAAAAAACAATGAGTATTCACCATGGCAATCGACAAAGTTACTTATTTTCGATGATCAAATGGCACCCATGACTGCATTGAGGAGAAGCAGTGTGTCGCCAACATGCTCAAGACACATTGAAGCTTCTGCTGAGCTTGAAGTAAGGTCGAATATGCGTCCATTTGAGATGAGATGAAATGATGAAGGAAACTTCAATGGCATCGTGTGAAAAAACGGGTGATTGAAATGATTTTCGATAAGACTCCTTTTCTCACTAGATTTCTTAAGGTGACCAAGAAGTTGATTTATCAACAAAATTTTCTTATAATGACATGAAAAGGGCTCAGATGCCATCACGACTATTGTTAGTCAACCAGTTCTAGCTTCCACTGTTTATATCCTCTTTCTGTCGCAAAATGCCAAGCCTATTACTTCCTAAACCCTAGTCTCCTGTGTGCCAACCCACAAATGTTGTGGTTC